ACTCAAACTACATATTTCCAAGTCCGGGTAGCCCAGCTCAGTTTTAGGACTCAATGAGTGCCGTTCTCCTCCCCTCTCTTCCCCCCCCCCAAACCTATTCCCCGCACGACTTCACGTCAAGCCGTCACGCAAGCAGCTTGTGAGCTTAGTGACTCGGGTTGATGTACTAAATAGTATACAATGTGTTGTATAGTTGAAAGTATTATCACAACTAAAAGAACATTTTCGCTTGTTACAGTAATGTGATTTAGTTCGCAGCTTAGTCAGCGGTTCTTTCCTCCTCTTGACTGAGCGCTGCTATTCAAGCGTGCGCTACGCACCTTCTCACCGTACCCGTTCACTCGCTTCCCTCAAGCGCCTTCACGTGCATGTTCCCAGGCCCGGCTGAGCACGTCTGGTGGAGGGAAGCAGGGGGGTATCCAGTCCCCGCTCCCATCCTGCCCTCGCACGGCCTACGTCCAGCTAGCACGCGAACAACTTGTGCAATGGCTCGAAGTGTACTAAATGGCTGTCTTATATGCCATGAGGGTATACGCAATCGAAACAACATCCTAGGGCGTTTCATGATCATGCATTAATCTGCTTTTTTTCTAGCGGTTGTTTTCTCTGTACATGAACAGAGAATAACAAACCTGAAGACTAGGCTGTAATAGGAACTGGTGAGTAAATGAACCACACGCCCGCTTTGCATCAATCCGTATCTGCGAACTGATACCGGATACTGCTTCACCAGAGATAGAGATAAGTACAACCATTTCTACTTATTCGGTTCAGTGTGAGCGTAGAGATAAGGTTAGAATTCCCATAGGATAGTAAAAAAATCCACTGTATTAGTCAGTGTAGGCCAGAGGGTTGGTTTTGACCTTCGCATGACACTACTTGCAACACCGCGACAACGTGGACCTCCACATTGTGACAGAATGCGCATGCTGATAGTTCAGGTCCCCCGCGCCCTCGACTTCGTTGAGAATCACAGCCCACGCAGGCGAAAAAGGCGCCACGTTCCCGATTCCATTAAATCCTGTATCTGTAAAACATTTTAGCGAAGGTATAGATGGGGTACGGACGACACTCACTTCCACCATGCGAACAGCTAACAAGTCTGGGCGCTATAGGGAACGGTGGAGCTGCTCCGTCAAGTTACTCCAACCGTTAAACCGAACGAGTGGTTCTTCAAAGCGAAGCGACGGGGTACTATCGCTGATGAGCAGGATCACCCGCCAACGCATTTGTTATCTCCTAACCATCCCATCCCTCCCCTTCCAAACTTAAGGGCACAAGCTTCGGGCATGCATGACCAGGGTGGCCGTGAGCAACAGGTCTCTGGTCCTCTGCGCTCTCTCCTCGTTGTCGCCAGCTAGGACCATTGTGACCACTTATAATACATTCCAACTTTTCACGTATGACAACTTTGAAGTCCCTTTCTCTTGAAGAAATCCGTCCCCTCGCTAGCTATATTATCTTTCATACCTTCCGATGCTGCTTTGGTAACGGTTCCCCCTATCTATCTGCACTATCTCTATGCAGCTCTGGTCATGCTGCGTTCATACTCGCATCAGCGTCCACCAACGACCATTAGCGTCTACCGTCACCGTTTCGAACGTCCGTCAGAGTCAGCGACTGGGAAAGTATAGGCATCGATCTAGCGAACAGCGTCTACCAGCGTCCACCAGCGACCACCAGCGTACAGGAGTAGAAAGTATGGCGAAGTATGAGGGTAGCAGACCACTGGTAGAGGATGGGGATGTAGGAGTAGGTGACAGCTCAACTGGTAGTTTAGTTAGATTGTGGCGTGTGCAACCGCACCGACCACTGCCAATACCGTACCCCTGGACCCTAGTGGACGCTGGTGGACACTGCCGCAAAGTATGAACGCAGTCTAAGCCTCGGTTACAGAAAGGGATGCAAAGGCGGTTATGGACCCAGTTTCTACGCCATTCTTTAGGCGTTTTTCAGATGCTAGACTGCATTAGGGGTATGTGGTAAGGGAATCGTCATTCGCTGCAATTAGAGGTACCCTCGTCATCCGGGCAGTTGATTAGGGCGGTCGTCAACGGGCCGCAGCGCGTGCCAGGAACTATTTGCTTTTTCCAGACTAATTTAGTCATTTTTTCCAACTTTTCACTGTTTTGGCTACTTTTTCCCAGATTAGCAGCTCCTTATCTTCACAAGGTGGAAAAATGACTAAATTAGCCTGGAAAAGCAATAGTTCCTGGCACGCGCTGCGGCCCGTTGACGACCGCCCTAATCAACTGCCCGGATGACGAGGTTATGTCGGTAAGAATCGTAATTCGCCGCGCCAGTGGGCGTCGCGTGCGACGTCGCGCCCGCTAATGACGACGATTTTAGGTGGTATTGGTCAAGAATAGACAATGTATGACCAAAAATAGACATAAGTTCCCACGATATCTTTGTGCAAACTAAGCAAGCGTCGCGCTCATTGCCGCCATTTATGATTCTCTTGCACGTCTCCCGTGCCGCTGAGTCTAGGTTGTGGAAAGCGTGGGATACGATCAGTCATGATCCCTAGATAAAGCAGGTCGTGTGACGTGGCGTGGATTGAAGCTCTGCTAAGACGGCCTTCAATGATGCCATCCCGGAACCGCAACAAATTGTGGAAAGACTGTTTTGGCTGCGCTCCAACTCACGCCCCTTCACACGCACTGTCGTTTTCAGGATCATGATCACATGTTTTGTTTATCCAAACAAGGTACAAATTTTCCTAAACATTCACAGCAAACGTGAATTTTTTTCGTGGTTTTTAATACTTTGGTGCTTTGCACCATGTCTGACCATACTGGAGTAGCGCCAGTTTCCTTGGCTCCCTTGGGTTTCCTTAGAACATGCATTTAATTATGGGTTTTATGCGATGGCATCGTCAGTCAATTCGTCAAATGCAACATTTTGATTCTTCGCAGATGGAAACCATTGCAAGACACAGGGCAGGTGAACGTATTTAAGAATGAAACATTTGAAAATATGTCTATTCAATTCATTCTGGCACTGTGGCACCAGTCCACCTTGGAATATGCTTTTCAGCATTTTCCTTGACGCCCTCCTAATTATATCAGTTTCATCTCTAAAGCAGACCTACACGATGACTGGTATGCCTATCCTTCATTTTGACAAATAATACCAGATTGGCGGGGAGGATTCCGTGGGTTTACTTGAATCAGTGCCATTCTTACATAACTACCTTTAGTCTACTACTATACTACCTTTCCATATAGTTTGCGCATTTCTGGAGTACATAAAATACTGGGATCTCTTCATTTCCACAAATAGCGTTTTCACCGTATTTGAGAGCACATCTGCACATCGATTCCGACCACCTTTTCAAGTAACTTTTTGCGACGCCATGGTTTAATTTTAGTGCCATTTCAAGAGTTTTCAAGCTTTGAACAGCCATAACTTTCTTCATCTGCAACCTCTTGTAAAACCAGAGAAAGTGGAGGAAATCCGAGAAATTCCTCCTCAATTATCCTTTGGTGTACTATTCAAAAAATTTTTCTGCATTTTTGTTGTGACAGTTCCGGGCGATCCGAGACACCACCCCTCCGGCGCAATACCATTTGCAGTTCGTTTGAAGTCTTTAGTATGCTTCTATTAGAATGTTCGAATGCGCGTTTGAGTTCAAAAATTTTTTTATTATAAAACGAAATTAAACAAGATTAATTCAAAAGATAATCTCCATTACTATCAATGACTTGTTGCCAACGTTTATGCAAAGAATGGATTCCTCTTTCGAAGAACTCGGCCGGCTGCGACTCAAAGTAGTTGGACACCCAGAGTTGGACTTCTTCGCGGTTTGTGAACTTTCTCTCGGCCAGGGAGTGCTGCATCGACCGGAACAGATGGTAATCGGATGGTGCCAGGTCTGGGCTGTATGGCGGATGAGGCAGGACTTCCCAGCCCAATTCCTCAATTTTTTCCAAAGTGATTTTCGCGACATGTGGACGAGCGTTGTCGTGGAGGAGTTTTGTCGACGTCGTTTCGACACCTTGACGACGCAGTAAGAAAGAGAGAAGAAGTAACTTTTTTCTTCAAAAAAAAACAAAGTAGACATAGACAAAAATATATCAAAAGATGCACAATAAAAATCTCTTTCTAATAGACAAAACTGTTTTGAAAAATCTTCTATAGTAGGAGAGAAATAAATGGACAAATTCAACGCGCATTTCTTTCCGAACAACCTAATAGAATACATCTTTTCGTCGGAGTTGCCAGGAGATACTTCATTTGGCTCTGATTGACATCACCTCTCTATTACGCCATGCATCCATTCCTATGCAGAGGTATGGGAAGGTGTAACTTCTAGATAGAGCTATACTCATTATCCCCAGGACAGAGTAGGAGGCGTGGCATTCGTACATGGTATAGGGTGGGTTACTCGTGGAATATTTTAATTTGAGACAACTATCATCTTGTTCCGTGTTGGATAAAGACATGATTACTAGTGTCACGAAATCAAAATATCTCTACGAATAGCTTAGCGCTCCCACTTTCAGTTCAAGTACGCAGCCACGCCCACCCCATCTCAGGATTCTGAGTATACCTCCTTGCAAGCAGATGGGTTCCTACGGTTCAGAAAGGTTCCGCGCCTTTACTTTTATTTATTCATTGATTCATGATGTCGTTACGAGCGGCCGTCGCATTTTTTATTACCCCCCCCCCTTCCCTACTGTTGAGCTTGCAGCTTGCCTCTGCCTTAAAGGCACGGTCCGCGACAAACTAAGGCTAGAACGTCTTGAAAGTGCATTATGACCAAGTATGCTCTGGGGTGGAATATAGAGACGGCACTCGAGTATCTTTTTCCCCTGCCCCGTTCCCGCACCCTTTCTATCAAAAGAATTGCTCTCGCTTGGCTCCTTCAGCCAATATGCGAACGTAACGTCACCGTTTTCAATTATTGGCTCGCAGAGGGTTGGGTTCGGTTCCTGGAATGATAACGGAACCACAAGTGAATTGTACTTTTGCACTTTTCGGCTTCCAGTGTGAGGCTGCTCTTTTTTAGAGTTGCGGACATCTATGAACAGCCGCTGTCACGAGATCAACAGTTCGGAAAACTCGTCCGAGCTGCGCCAAACTCGTACAGTAAATAAAATTAGTTGGCTTTACTTGGGGAATCCTTAACGGCTTCTACCCAGTTTCTTTAACGACCGAGTCACTTGACATCTTCCTTTTTTCTCCGCCCTTTTTCACCATCAATCGTACTGCACCTTCAAAAAGCTAAGATTATGAAAATGGACCTGTGGAGGGGTCTCTTCCAACCCACTACGTGCAGGTTACTGTCTTCTTTCAGGAACTCTTCACTGTAAAGGTAAACCGGTCAGGAACCACACAATCTCACTGAAATTCACGCAATTAAGTGAGTTTGAAGAAAGGAATCTAAATATGGAAGGTTCTAGAAGCAACAGCATCCCAGTATTTCAGTATTCAAAGGAAAAACAGCTAAGAAGGTGAACACTGGAGTAAATGGAAACTTCACTGTGAGCGCTGAAACGAAAGCACGATCGTGGCAGAGGGCATACGGTTGGGTAGAGCACAGCTGTGACAAAAGTAACCGAGTAAGTTGTCATCCAGGAGAAGATACCCCTCACATGTACTTCTTTGAGCAACTACCTTCACTCCAAAACAGATTTCTGGGGATCCGGGTTGCAGCGACACGCACAGGGTCAACGGACAACTTGAATTCCTTCAAACGCGTCGGATTTGTGTTTCTCTGCACTCTAGAATATGTCTCTATGGGGTCATGTGTGACTTTCGCACTCCAGCTTTTCAGCGTAGATAGGTGGCTCATCCCACCTAGGGTCCTTATGTTAAAAAAACTCGTTTCCTGGACTTGTCATACGTGTTCCTTAAGCACAATCGATCTGTCGACTCGCTATTGGGGCCTGGCGCCTCTGATTCGCATCGGGTGCGTTACAGGGACACAGCCTCGCCAAGCGCGGCGTTCCCCACCCCTGCTTGTCGACTCGGCTTATGTAGCCTCAAATCGACTGGATCCTGGTGCGAATGTCGCATATGTGTCAATACTTGCAACGCCCGCTTCGCCGCATCGCCAGAATTCAGATCTGCTCACCTAGCCACCGTAAGGCTGCGTTTATACTTTGCGGCAGCGTAGCGTACACTGGAAGCGCTACACTACGCTGCCGCAAAGTATAAACGCAGCCTAACTACTTTCTTCAAGGTCGAACGAACAGCTGTAGTTTAATGAGCACGTTGGAGGTACGAATGCATTCTTAAAGAAGCGCGTCTACTTCAAAGCACACCGCACCCTCTACTCGGTCAGAGTAGGTCAAGACCATGGTATAATACTGTGTGAGGGTAAAAGTCACCGCTGGAATACAATTTCGATCCCCAGAACCACTTTTTAGATAAATATTCTGATATTCAGATACACATTCCGATGACTATGTACAGTTCTGAACGCAGCATACCGCTGGTTTGATGGACCAGCGCAATATACTGGTATAGAGCTACCGGTAGTCGTTCCGCCAACCAAGGTACATCATATGGATCGGTGAAATAGCGGTGTCACTGCGACCTTCCAAATTTCCTCCTCCAGTACAATCGCCATGATTTCCTCACGACTCCCTCTCACAAGCTCCCTACCACCTTATCATATTCTTCCACTCGTACCAATTTTCCAGGACTTTCTACAGTTTCCCTAAGAAAAAACTAACGTTGAGCGGGAAGGGGTTTCTCCGATTGACTACCAGAACCGCTCGCAGTCGCGTCCTGCGCCAAGGGCACGTTCCGGCGTTGAGGAAATTTTTTGCAAAGTACGACCCCCATGAAATTTGTTCCTCTGGTACGATCTCTTCCTTCATCTCCCATCCTTCCTCCTGCGACCCAGTGCGACCCCCGTCGCTGCTGGGGATCCCTCCCCAACGTACGACGTGCCCAAAGTCACGCATATCTCGGGGATGGGGAGGCCAAGGCTGCGTGCTTCATTTGGACGTAGCCGCGGCTGTTCTATGAAAAGCCGTTCTAGGAAAATCGTAATGCAAAACGTGTGATCCTAGCATGTCTAAACTGAGTACTTTAAGACACGATGCGATGTCATGAGCTACATTCCGATTCCTCCGAAATTCAAGGACGCCGTCTACGACCTCGACGTGTATGAGCTCTCAAAGAAACCTTATTACAATAGTTGTGATGACAAGGATAATAAATAAATAGATATACAAAGATTTCGCCGTTGCCAACCCTATGTTGTTCTTTGCTGAATCGTTAGCCAAACCTTAAAGCCCATATTTCGATTAGAGGGCGAAAATTTGGTGGAAATGCGAAGAAAGGATGAGCTATTGCTCCTAACCTACGAAGCAGCGTGCAGGCAGGAGATCTGAGCTGGACAGCCGCAGAGTCCAAGCATCGCCCACGCCGTGGCGTCTTTCTAGTTGTCGGATGCGGTGTGAAAACCTTATTTATCGGTTCGCGGCGCCAGAGGTGGAGATCTGCCTAGCTAGCCTGGGCCCGGACAACACACGAGAAAACTAGTCGTCAGCGATAGGACAAGAATGAGTAGTGGCTAGCTGACTGCAGCTCGCTAAAAAACGGAGAAACTGTCGAAGTGTGCTGAATAGGAGCCCAGAGCGCGTGAGGCGATGAATCATCTGATTTGAAGGCAGTTTGAGAACGATGCGTTGTTCCTGCTTATATCCTAAAATGCTAGGTGGGCGCTGTATAGTGGGGAAAATGGCGAAAGAACAGAGAAACGGTCAAAACCCTGCGAAGAAAAAGCCTCCGTTCTTCAGTGACTTGAAAATTGATTTCGGACGAGTTTTCCGTACGCATCTTGCCTATCAAACGCTACCGAAGATACGGCTACATATATGTACCATATATGCATGCAGCATCACGGCCGCTTCATACCAATCCCTTCGCTTCATAATTTGCGGTCAGGCAAATGACACTGAAATACGGAGCGTCAGAAACGGTCGTCCATTTGTGGGCGGGCGGGCGTGGCGGGCGTTTGGTACGTGAAGTTGTGGCTTGATAGGGCCCTTATAAGGGCACCTTCCTCGGGAAAACCGCTATGCAGCGCCTGCCCGAGGGTGCCGCGCGGAATTCTATACGCTGGCAGGGAGTTACTGTAATCTAGTCTGCGCTTGGAGGATTTATACGTGGCCAACTGCTTTAAGGGCGAGATGGGAGTCAAGAGCAACGAGACAGCATACAGTCATTTCCACTGCAGATGCTGGGCGTATAAGGGAATAGGTTGGAGCGGCGCCAAACCGTTATTCAGCAGTTCTTGAAACGGGCAATCGAAAACAATTGGTGGAAGACGGCGTCGCGCTGAACCCAGCCTTTCTAACGCGCCCAAGAGCTCTACAGCGGAAACGACTTATGCAGAAAATGAACAGGCCATCATAACGCTGGGAAGGGGGTCACGTGATGCTGCTTAGTGAGGGTCAGCTGGTGTGAACCTTGCCACTGGGATACGTGTTGAATTTCGTAGCTTGTTTGTGCTCCTCGCTCGCATCATTTCTGGTCTTCTCGCTACGCTCTTCACAGTGTTCGAGTGTTATCATCGGCAGACAGTCGGAGGTGGTTGTCATGTACGTTCCTCATCTTGTCACTGTTCGGGGGCGGCCGAGCCGCGCTGCACTGCGACGCGACAGCCGGCTGCGGCTCGGTGACGGCGAATCAGCTGATTTCGATGGAATTCGGCTGCGAATTCCCACTTTTTCAGCTCTCTCAAGCTTCGAAAGTGGAAAGGTGAGTCATTTTAAACAATTTTGAATTGTACTGGCTCTTCCTTGTACTTTGTCTTATTTTAGGCATTTATTCAAATAGCTTGCATTCTTTCAGATTCATTCAGAGCCAGTACACTTCGAAATTGTTCAAAATAACACCTTCCACTTTCGAAGGTTGAAGAGCTGAAAAAGTGGGAATTCGCAGCCGAATTTCAATGGAAACAGCTGATTCGCCGTCACCAAGCCTGTCGCGTCACAGTGCAGCGCGGCTCAGCCTCCCCGACAGTCCGCAATGAAGAGGACTGTAGAATGGAATGAGCCCCATCGCAGTATTCTCGCCATTGGTTGTTTTCTTTTCGAATCGATCACTAGCAAATAACCATTGCTGGAGCAGGGCAGCCGGAGACGGGCTCATTCTGCCTGCTTGGCACCGCCCCGACTGGTTGCCACGTTATCAACTGTCGCGTGTTGCAGTTATTCTTGGCCATCATCTACTCCTCCCATTGATCATGATCAACTGTGAAAAGGAGGACCTTAGTGACGTCACTTTTTCTGCTTTCTTCCTCACTAATAAGTCATCAGGCGCCGACACTACTGTTTTTGACCCTACTGGTTGCTGGTATTGTACTGGTTGCTTACTGTGAGGCCTAAAGGCACAAGGCACGATAATTCGGAACTTGCTCAAAAACAGTAGCTGAGGTGCTATATAGTATGACGAAGAGAATTAAACGGCCAAAAATTTCTGGAAAAAAGTCCCTGTTCTGTACGGCATTGGGCGAGCATTTTGGACGAGTTTTCCGCTGGCATCGTGCCAACAACCGCTTTTACAGATGCGGTTGAACGTATGTAATCATATATCCATGCAGAGACGTTTAAGATCGATTGTGCTCCACAAACGAAGCGATAAGAGTACGTGCGTCGCTCTAACTCTGCGACCATTTGTGGGCGGACGGTTGCAGTAGGCGTTCGGGTCGGTATGGTGCACCTTGGTTAGGTGCTATAGCGGCGCCGTTGGTCAGAAAAGGCGCCACACAGCGTCTACCAAGTAGTACATTATTCTTTCGTGCCAGGGGCATTTACCCTATACGCCTTGCCGATTTATCGTGGTACTTGCCCTTAAAAAAACGTTCCGCGAGTTGGCGGAAATTATCCCACCAGGCGGAATCACCTAACACGCAGAAATTTTTGCGTGTTTGCCATGGGCCAGAGAATGTGGTTAAGGATCCCATCGAGGGGGTCATATTTGTTCGCTGGAGGAGGCTGGGCCGCACTTGCTTCTGACTATGAGAAAAATGTTTTCGGTAGATGGCCTTCCTCCGATTTTTTCTGCTCTCGAGCTACATATCCTACGCTCGGCGGTTTCTTGAGGAGAAAGTGAAGGGATTTCTGGGAATTTCGGAAACTACGGAAAGTGGCAGGAAATTGGGAAAGCCTGGGAGGACAGTACATGGGATGGGGAAGGGGGTTGCACCATCTGAGGAAACTTTAAAAGGGGTCGTATTTCGCAAAAAATTTCCGCAACGGCAGGACGACCCCTGGCATGAGCGATTCGCAGCCGCATGCAATATATAATTCTACACTCGAAAGTGTAACGGTAAGAACCCCGATAATCTTCTCAAAGGTTATCCCATGACTGGACCTCCAGAGGTGACGAAGTCAGAGCTTAAATAATCAGTGGGCACCCACCAGTCGTTGTCCAGGGTACAGCATCGGGATGTTAGAAACGGCGGCGTCAAGCGCCCTCCCCCATCATTTTATATCACCGGTACGACCCCGCCGTTCCCCCTTCCTACATCTTCCCAAGTTTTTCCGAACTCCTACCTTTATTCCCGGTTTTCCAGAAGATTTCCCCGTTCTTCCCTGGAATTTTGTCGTCGAGAGGGAGACTCCACCAACAACTAATTTCACCTATCAAAAATAGTATTTGCGGAGCACTTTGACGACGCCTGCCGCCGATCAGAGGGGACAGGGCTGTGCTGTTGTTCAGGGCACATCATTGGTTGGGGATTTTAGTCGACTCTATACGACCCCCCTTTTTTTGGGAGTTGGTACGACCCCCCCCCCCCCAGCCCTCTGTCCTTCCTCATCGAATCGAGCCGGCGAGGGGGCATATAGTACTTTTTACCAAAAATTTTGCTGTCGAGCGGGGGGGGGCATATAGTACGTGAAACAGGAAAATCACCAAAAGTCAACCGCCACTCCCACAACGCCAAAACGTAAATACGACCTCCCCCTCCCAAAAATGATCAAATACGACCCCCTCCCTTTACAACGTCCATGAAGCGAGAAAAATCAACTATCAAAATAAATTTTTCTCAGCCCAAATACGACCCCCCCCCCTATTGGGGATTCCCCAACAACGATGTGCCCTGGTCCCAATCACGCGTAAGTGTGTTTTGTCCGCAGTTGCACTCCAAACATTTAATCGATTTTTACTGACCGCTGTCGTTTTAGCTTTTTTCCTTCACTGCTCGTTAATGGAACTGTCTGCTTTTTTCGTTTCGGCTTACTTTACACTACGTACATCAGCTACTATGACTGCAATGGTTTCACAGTCTCAGCACTTCGGCTTCCTGGGTTGTTATATAGCGAGAGCGGGAATTCGATTATCTCTTTGATTAAAAAACTTCAGAAACTGGGAATATGAAGATTATGCAGCAATTTTACTCTCTGTGCAAAACGTTGCAGTCATCATAAAATGTAGGAGTTGCTCGCATTACAATGTGTTATTTTGAAGTTCGTTGGCATTCATATTACTGATAGTTATATCGATAGTTAAATTAGTTTGCTAAAAGCTGCAAACTCGTATGAGCAAGGGGTTTTCATATTTGAAAGGGTTGTGCAGCGATTCTTTTCTCTCTTCGAGCCAACGAGAAATAATAGTTCATGATCATATTTCAGAATTGGAAAGCGTGCCCCTTTTCAGACAAACTTAGTTTTTGCGTAGTTCCCTTTTACAGTAACATACCATGTCAGGCTCCTGGAAAGATCCAAGATTCTTGCTTCAAATGTTTAAGCTCACTCTCAATCGTTGATAAACCTATAGAGATTTCTGCTGATGTATTACGAGCTAAGAAAGAAAACCCTAGTATGAGACCAGTAGCGAGCTTCGGATATTGCCATTGCTCACTTTCGATCGTCTTGTGTCTTGTGGGTGTCAGATCCAATTGAATTTCAGATTTTCATTCTCTTTAATTCCAAACTCGACTCAAGGCTCATATGAACACTAGACAGCCATCGTTTCGGCTGAGTTGCACTCTTCGTATTCTGATAATCAGATCAGCTCGGGTACGACGGGTAGTTAGTCGGACTGAACGCGTTGGTAATTCGTAATTAAAGGCACTCCTCGCGTTTATTTGATCCGCAGATGCCTTCTCTGGATGTTGTAGTCCTGCCTGCAAGCATGGAGCATGTACAACTTTCATATCTCAAAACTGTGTAAAAAAGCGACCCGCTCGCGGCGAGGCCATAGCTCCGCCTACTAGCCGCAGTAACGCCCACCTTTTTAACTGCACTGCAACCTGAGGGCAAGGTTTTTCCGCTACTAACCTCTCCATTTGGAATGATTAGAGTACTTTGATAAGAAGGAAAAACCTGGCACCAATAAGTAAGAACTGGTCCATCCCCCCTCTTTGCGGTTAAGCATGGGGTTCTATATGGGGCGTTTCGAGCGGGGTTTTTTTCTTCACTCTTGTGTTATTTACCATCTTGGCGCTAGTATTTGAGCCGCACAACTCACCATTTCCTAACTCAGGACGCGCCTCTGAATCCTCTTTTCACTTTATGTCGCAGGACTCCTAAATCTTATTGTTTTCATGTTGTCAATTGTGCAGGCTAAATTCACATTGTGTCGTTTGCCAACCTCATCATGTTATCCCATTGTCACTTAAGTGTTCTAGGCATGTTTGCCCCTCCATTGCGGGCAGTCTCACGGCGGTCACTACATGTTTCTCGTATCCTTTCATGTAAGTATTTTTACTGTTTTGCTGCTTTATTCATAGTATGGCCCTTTTCTCAAGTCCGCAGCACCCTCGATCCTTAGCTTCTGAATACAAAGATACTGTCCGACTGCACAGTATTCAAATCCAGTGGAGGTCTTATTAAAGTCGTTCTGGGCGTTTTTCTTTATTTTTCTCTTCGGTAGTTTAATCTCAACACTTTCTAAACCTCGCTACCCACGATTTTCAATCGCTGACAATGTCCTAGACAGCGTTCATGTTTTGCATCAGCGTCTTGAGCGACTAGGAAAGCGCAGGTATTGATCTAGCGTTCTCAGCAAATACCCGTGAGAAGGTCAAAACTGCCTACATAACGCTTGAAACGCTGTTATACACTAGATCGATGCCTATACTTACCTAGTCGCTCAAAACGCTGCCGCACGCTCGAAGCGCAGACGCTATAAACTCACTAGAGGGAGAAAACTCTCTATTTCAGCTCCATTCCATTCTCCAGTTTTTGGCACTGTTTACCCTTCACTTCCCCAAACATCCTAAGAAATCTGGCCAGTTTTTGACCGACTTTTTTCTCCGCGAACGGTAGCTAACCAAAATTTGTCTCCTGGGTAGTTCCACCTCCTGAACATGAATATCACATCCGCTCGGCGCAAAACCTCCTGGCGCTCACGCTACTGGCGCCGCGCCAAAATACCTAAAATTACCGGCGCCTGTGGCGCGGCGCCACAAGGTTTCGGCTAAGCGAATAGGATATTCGTATTCAGGGGGTCAAACTACCTCAGAAGACAACATTTGAGCCAAATCTGTCCACGGAGAAAAAAGTCGGTCAAAACTGGCTCGATTCCGATGATTGGGGCAGTGAAGGGTAAATAGTGCCCCCAGGTTTCTCGTAAATAGTTCCCCATTTTTCTCTTCAATAACATGATTTCAGTACGTGGTCCTCTTACCTTTGAGGGGTGGTATCCACGTGACCACAAGCCAGGGCAGTATCCAACAACCGATGAGGAGAGACGTGCAGCTGCTCTGAAGTTTGTAGTTCAGTGCCTTCGGTCGATCTCCATTGCTTCATACTAACAACTTCAGATATGGACTCCGCCCAGAAGACTATAAGCCTATGGATCAGGACGATGTTGTTCGTTATGCAGGTGACTACCCCGACTTTGGCCCTATTACATATGACCATAAGGATCCCTACGAGAATTGGACTGATCGCCTTAATAGAAGAAATTGGGGAGAAATGGTAAGCATTTGACTACGATTTTTGAAATTTTGCTTTTGCGGTTCATTTGCTCATACCGCTTCAGGTTCCTATAGACATGATGCGCCATCGAGCTGATCGTTTGACTTTCACTGGATTAGAAGCAGAAGATTTCACTACGTATGTTTAACATTATTTCTTTACTGTAACATTGTTTTTCTTAAGTATGGACTGCGTTCTTTTTTGACTGGGGAAATTAGGCGATTTGATGGATTGCGCGACAAGGAAATTGTAGGTAACCATCCGGCCAAGACAGAGATTGAGTGTTTTAGCGTTTTGAGAGATATGGCGTTCCCGACGATTGCGCGCTAAATCTTTACGGCCATCTCCCGGAACGGCGGATCGCCAAGCCTGTCGAATCGCTGGATCCCTCAATCTCCCAAATCGCCGAGTCTTCGCAGTCGTTAGCGACAGTGCGATTAATACCCATCCCCTCCTTTGGTAAGCAGGTGTCGAGTCTCCCAGAACGCTCAATCTCCGCCCCCAGATCCATACCTATACTAGTCGCTCAATGCCTCGAATCGCCATATCTCCGCAGTTGCAGTGTATGCACAGAGCCCAAGGCGCAACCGTCTGTAGGGTGTATTTTCGCTTCGACTAGTATTTTTTCTTATCTGTGTGAGCGATCTATATCAAGTATCAGGCGCATCAAATGCATTTATTTAGAAGATATGATTATAAGTACCAGAAAAGCAGATGTGTTTAGCAAGTTTCACCAGAAAATGAGATAACTTGTTTTGCAAACGTAGTTAGGGGACGTGCGCCTGCGGCTCTATGAGTGCGTTTACACTTCGCGAATAGTCGCGCGATACGCGGGCGTTCTGCGCTAAGTTGAAGTGGAACGACTGCGGTCGCATCCACGGAGTGCCGTCGATTGGCGCAGCTTTCAGCTGTCATACTGCAACTAGGACGCATTTTTCACAATCCACAACACCTCCAGGCCGCCTCTGCAGCTCATCTTCTTGAGCCGGACAGCTCGTCCAGATGACTCGGCCTCTCGACTGACGAAACTGATCGACCTAATCTTCATATAGAGAGTAAGAGATACATGGGTGAAAGACGTCAAAAATAGTTCAGGACCGGACGCAAGTACATTTCGCAAGTGAATCCAACTTTCAACTCTCGTGCGATTCGGCGTCTATGCTCGCGTCCTTCCAATGTCGATCAGCTACGTCAATCCAGATCTTGGGCGACCTGGACGAGTTGTCCGGCCCTGGAAATGGAGATGACAACTGTGGCCAACACTCCCCAGTAGCAGTATGGCTGCTGCCAGCAGCGCCATTCGACCTACGCCGGCATCTGCGACCTCCAATAGTTCACAAAAGGCGGGTACGGCATAGGGGGTATAGTGCTCATGAACACGAAAACCGAGAATGTCGACCATCTAAAAGATTTTTTGGCACTATTTACCCTTCACTGCCCCAACCATCCAGAATTGAGCCAGTTTTTGACCGACTTTTTTCTCCGTGGACAGATTTGGCTCAAATGTTGTCTCCTGGGGTAGTTTGACCTCCTGAATACGAATATCACATTCGCTCAGCCCGAAACTTCCTGGCGCCCGCGCCACAGGCGCCGGTGATTTGGGGTATTTTGGCGCCAGCGCCTGTAGCGCGGGCGCCAGGAGGTTTCAGGCCGAGCGGATGTGATATTCGTGTTCAGGAGGTCAGACTACCCCTGGGAACAAGTTTTCAGCGAATTTGGTGATTTAGGGTATTTTGGCGCCGGCGCCTGTGGCGCGGGCGCCAGGAGGTTTCGTGCCGAG